TATGATTCGAAAAAAGGTGCAACTAATGATGGTTTTAGAAGGTGGGTGTTTACCTTCAAGGAATAATGCAGTAACTTAACAGGTAAATGAGAGCACTTCTGGGATGTTAGTATTATTTTTTTCCCTTGATCTTATTACTATTCCTTTTGGGAATATTTGTGTGACAGTGTACATAGGATTTGTATATTTTTCTGATTTTTACCATACATTTATTTGATTTATAAAATAAATAAAAAAAAACATTTCCAAAGAGCAGAAAAAATCTTGCAGTAACTAAATGGACAAAACATTAATTCATAGTTAGCAAAATTTTAAAAATTAGGGAATACTCAATGATGTGCTCAGATGCAAAAAGTCCCAGAGGAAAAAAGAAAGAGAACAAAGCATTGGGCCCTTAGAAAACTACTGACAATAAGGACTGATTATATTTTAAATGTTAATTTTAATGTTTTCTCCTGTGCAATGGGCAGAAATCTCCTAACCTTGAGAATCTTGAGAAGGGAAGGATCAGGTATGCCCCCTACAGACTGAATTTGTTGGATGTCATTGCAAGGTTTAAAGAATATTTGGTTGGGGATGTGGCTCAAGCAGTAGTGCGCTCACCTGGCATGTGTGCCGCCTGGGTTTGATCCTGAGCACCTCATACAAACAAAGATGTTGTGTCCCCGATAACAACAACAACAACAACTATATATATATATATTAAAAAAAGAATATCTTCCCTGTAACTGTTTAGGGAATGAGGTAGATAATGTTTCTTAAGCCAAACATCTCTATAGAATCTGAAATACACAGGACCCTTAAAAAGATCTTGAAAAGGAATATGAATTTTCATTTACATGGATTTTATTTTATCATAAAAATAAGAACACTGGTTTACAGTTATCTGGGAAAGTCTGAAACTCTCAGGTCACCCCTTAATATGGTCAAGGTCTGGGCTGGAGTTGTATGTAGCTCAGTGGAACAGCACATACCTAGCATGTGTGAGGCACTGGGTTCAATTTCTTTAAAAAAGATTAAAAGTCCATTGACAAGTAAAAAAAATATTTAAAAGAAGGTAAGGTCAAGGGTCTATCTATTTCTCACCTTTCAATGGAGTTGAAGGAGTAAATAAGGAATCCCTTACCTCTAGAATCTTGGATAAATGGGGATGAAGATGAAGTTTAAACTCAATACTTTAAGTGTAAACTGGAAAAATCAGGAATTCTGGTGAATTCAAGAAAGCACAGGTTCCAAGGAAAAACTACAGATGCCAGTTGGGGGGGGGGGGAAAGTACCATACAGGAGAGAAACCCACCTAAGAGACCAGGATTTTTTCTCAAATAAATCCAGCTTACAGGAGGTTAAAGCTCCATGTGGTAATTCAAAAATTTATAAAACCGTACAACAAAAACCATACAATTCAACTTTCCATACCATTATGGCAATTTACCACCCTTTGAGACCATCTGTCAAACATCTGTAAACTCTAGGCAAATAACAAAAATACAAGTAGCTGAAGATACAGAAAGGTAAGAAAAGGCAGGAAGATTGTGGAGGGGAAACAAAACTCAAAAGAAGAATCTAGAAAGTGGAGGGCAAAGTTTTCCTTTTTTGTTTTTTATTTTTGTGTCCCTTTGCTCTCAGGAGCCAGCCACAGATAATAGTACTGGCAGCTAGAACACAATAAAAACTTCAACCTGTAAGTGGCGCTCATGAACACTGCCCATCCAGACAATTTACTCTATGTAATGTCTTCTATATGCTCAAAAGAGGCATTTAAATTTACCATTAATTATATATTCACAGTAAAGTTATTATGAGTACATTTTATACTTAGAAAAATGTACAAAACTATTTCTTATTTAATGACAATGTATTGGCCTCATATGAGAATTGAGAGTGAAAGTCACATTAGTCTCATTTCTCTCATTCACGACCATGTCAGAGAAACGGAAGATGTGCTTATTTTTTTCATCATAAACAATATGAAAAATAAATTCATTGCATTTAGTTCAACACAGTTCCTGTCTTTGATAAGTAATGAATATTGTTGAAGTGTAACTCACTGCAGGACCTACAAGATTTCCATGTTCGCAGGACTCTTCAATAGTGCTGTGCTCTGCTCACTCACTAGCTGAGTGATTTGCTCCCCAGGAGGCACCTTCCAGCACTGATACAAATTAAGTCCAGGACTTTAATTATTCTCTCAATCTCCTACAACTTGGTAAGGATTGTAGCTCTATGACTCAGCAATGGGGAAGGGGTAGGGGTGTTATTTTCTACCCATTTTATCCTTAAATCTCCATTATCATCATTTAAAAAAATAGATTCAACCTACAGACTGAATCTCACAAATCACCATCAGTGTTAAACAGTGACTTCAAGTAAATATCCAGGCAACTTAAACACCTTGTCAGGGTTGTTGTCCTGTCAATGAATCTTCCCTTTCTATTTCTCCTTCCATAAATGGCACAGGACATGGAAGCTTGGTGTCCACATTTTGTGTTCTGTCTCCTTGATCTTTGCTGACCTTCACTAAATGTGTCTTCTTCCACCTAGGCATCCAGCAAAGGTATCTCTTATGTGAAATTGGCAACTACAATTGGGAGCAGTGCACCTTGCCTTGTCTAAGGTCTCAAAAGTCTTCACTGAGTGACCTCCTTATCCTACCCCAAGCCATTTTTCATCCTTTGACAGGAGCTTGGTAGAAATTCTTTATGTCTTAGAACAATGATTCCCATCCTATTATATACTTATCTTTAGTATTTCCTAATTTTATTTTCCCCACAATACTCTGTTTTAATGGAAGTATAATAGACATACTACAAAATACATATATTAACAAATGGATTATGGATTTCATAAAATATATAAATTTCCATCAACTCAAATCTTTTCCAGTCAGTTTCCATATCTGAGACAAGCATTATTTCTGTTTTCTTAACAGGTTTTTCTTCCTGAAACTTCATATAAAGAATAATAATCATATTTTGCTAAAAAAATTGAGACTCATCTGTTTTCTAATCTATACCATTCTTTTGTAATTTCTGAGTAGAAAATGTCTAGTATCACTGGCTCCTACCCACTTTGGTATATCCAAACACTCAAAAATGCTCCCACATATTCTACTACCCAACCAGAACCACTCTTCTTAGCACAACCTGGACTCAGTGGGAGTTAGCTTAAGCACTAGCTCAAGATCCTGCTGACCAAATTCTGCTCTCAGCCAGGTCTGATCTACTACCATCTGCCATTGGGTCACCATGATTTTTTTTAATTTAAATCATTGTGTAAGATGCCTTCGTTTGAGTTCTCCCAGGGAAGAGACAGATTTGTATATAGACTGGGAAGAACTCCAAGGAACCATATCTTTGTGGGAGTGGAGTAAGCATGACTGAGCAAGGGAGAAGCTGAACTGAAATGCAGTTGCAATAGAGGCCACAGCTGATCAAATAGGGAGATAAGGAGCTTCCTATTTGACTCTTCAGAATTATTCTAACTTGAGGCAGGTTGGCTGGCACAGGTGGGAATGCAGAGCAATATTTGTGCAAACTAAAGAGATACACACTGCCAAATAAACTTTTGACTTTTTCTGGGTTTAGATATTTTGATGATATAATAACAAAGGAAGATGGAGAAGTATACAGCAATGGAATTCAATTGTGTAGGGCTTGTGGAATAAGATGCATCAGGAAACATTTATAGGCAAAGCCCAGTGAAAAGTTTTACTGTAACTAACCAATAATTCAACAATTTTCCATTTCTAAAAATGAATCATTAAATATTATTATCCCCACCCTTATAGATGAGATAAGGATCAGACAGGTTCAGTGAATTTTCTTCAAGTTCACACTACTTGTGCATGACTATTTCAATCCTCACCATTCTAAACAACTGTACCATACATTTGCATACTAATAAATGTGCCAACATAACTGGTGAACTAACATATTAATTTTAAAATACTAAATCTTCACTCTTATTTCTTGTTTTCTCTTGTGCTAAAGCCCCTCAGCACTGGCTCAAAGTGTGCAAGTTTATTACCAATTGATTTCCAATGAAGATAGACAGAAAACCACCAACCTTCCCACATAATAAACAAATGTGCAGACTTCCTATCCCAA